GTTTCAAAGCACTCCTCCAGCATCATCTAAAATGTTTATTCATACTGAATAGATATCAGCATGTGTCGTTGAATGTGTCAGCTGACAAATGATGAGAAACTTTAGTTTAGAGCTGCCAGAAATAAATATATTTCTATTTGATTTTTTAAACACACAAATAAAACCACAAGGGTAAATGAGTATTCACCTCAAATTATTCAGTACAGGATGTTTTGGTTTGTGATGACACTTCCATTCGGTTTGCCCTGTGATTGATGTCAGAAGTCTTTCAAAACAATAATGTAGAATGCACCACCAGAATCCACCTGAACATTTTTGCAGTTAGCAAGTTGTTTTTGATCAGATGACAGATGGATGATTTTTATCAGATGGTGGCTACGTGCTACTATTGAGAGAACGATTAACAGGCGTTGTATTATTTACTAAACATTGTCGTTGTCAGTATTGGGAAATAAGAAAACATATGCAGTGATAATTCACTTACAGCCACAGAGTTGTTGTTGTTGTTGTTGCTTCACCGGTAAACGTTTTAATATGCTAATGATGTTGTGTTGAGGACACCTCCACATAAGGAGTAAACATAGGCGCCTTGTATTTTATCCTCCTTTTGTTTGTTTTTTTGCTTCTTTAGATGGTGTCAGCTAAAGGCATGTTTCTGATATAAAGAGCCCTGTTACTGAAGTTACAGGAGGCAAAGGAGTTTCCTTGCTTTCATGTTGTGAGAGTGAAACCACAGATATTTTTCTGCTTTCTCCACTCGTGCTAATGTAAATGATTTGCATGGAGTTTGTCCCTGCTGATTAAGGCTGTTTGGACTGTTCTTCTTTGGAACCATGCCAATTGAATTTTCTGCCTTCTAACACGCTTGGAGAGTGGGGAATATGGTTCTCATTGGGGCCTGAGGCTTGATCTCCTTCTAGCCTCCCCCAGTCCTTTCACATCACTCTGACAATTAGTAAGCTCGACCATTCCCAAATGACACACGTAATTAAAGAGTTGGCATTATAATTACAATATGCTTATTGTCTGTTTATGGGTTCTGTGAAGTGCATAATGCACTTGGAGATTTCTTTGGTGTAAATGGATTTAGGGCTCTTAATATACTTGGTGGCAAATGTGATTTCATGTGGTTAACATCTTGAAAAACCTCCTTTATCAGCCCGCTGACAGTTGCTCGGTTTGTCACGCATAAAACACAGTTTTGGCTGAAAGAAAAAGGTGGCACCAGAAAAAAAAAAAAAAATTTAGTCATGGGCTTTTAACAGGTACAACAGTAAATGCATGTTAAGTAAATGATGCAATTTATTTCCTTTTTCTCATTGCCAGATTGGCTGCCACGGGACCTCTGCCAGCTTTAAATAAGTGGTACACAGATGGTATTCACATGGTGCCCACTTGGTTACAAAACGGTCCCAGGGAATAAAGCCCTGCCACAACAACCATTAGGTCAGCTGGTGAGCCTGTTGCTTTTGCACTTTGTGTGTACAAATGGGTTAATGTTGTCATTGGGCCGAATTCTTTGGTTAGCACGGCTCGTTCTCCGGGCTCCAAAGTGAAATGGAAGATGCACTGGTGAAGGCTGGGATAGAGAAGTAGGAGGGAGATCCTCTCCTCTCCTCTCCTCTCCTCTCCTCTCCTCTCCTCTCCTCTCCTCTCCTCT